GTGATGAATGTACATTTTTTTCAACGGTAATGTGCATAGACAAAATTGTCGTTATTGGAGCGACGCCAATCCTCACGTCTTCCGGGAAACTCGTACTCAATATCCACAAAAAATTAACGTTTGGGCTGGGATATTGGGAAATCATATTGTGGGGCCTCTATTCATCAAACAAACTTTAACCGGGGAACTGTATTTGGATATGCTGGAAAATACTATTGACCCTCTAATCACCGAATAGGTCGAAGCGAATCCTAATGAATTTGATACTGATATTGTATTCCAGCAAGATGGTGGTGCTCCACCACTCTGCTACAGACAAGTTAGGAATTATTTAGATAACAATTTCCCCGGTCGTTGGATTGGCCGTCGAGGTCCTATGGAATGGCCAGCTCGCTCGCCAGATTTGACACCTTTAGACTTTTTTTATGGGGCTATTTAAAGCAAACGATGTACGAAACTGAACATACTTCAATATTGGATATATACGGCTGAGAATAACAAATATTTGTAGAAATATCGATGTTGAAAATGTTCGACGCGAAATTACGGACCGGCTGTTATTGTGTCAAGAAGTTCAAGGAAACTATTTCCAGCATGTTCTAAACTGAACTCAACGTATTTATGCGAATTATCAAGTTAAATGTCAATGTATTCAGGTAATTATTAAATGCACCACCATTTTGTAGTAGGTAAAGGTATTGACTTTATATTCTAGGGTTATAAAGTACTCATCAGACCCACGTTTTCATATAATTTTTTTTCCAAGATGGCGCCCAGCATCTGTCAATTTTACTCTAAAATATGGTATCTACGCATCAATTTCATTACCTCAAGTTTCAATTTTTTGGATTGATCCGTTCAAAAAATCAAAGGAGAGGGGGACATTAAAGAAAAGCACTGTATGTTCCCTGTCTCCCCTCCAAGGCCGGCGCCTCTAGTGTTTCTAGATCGAACGCTACGTTGCCAGTCTCATCACGTAATTTACAGACCTCGTATGGCTTTGTCGTTCAAAATTTAGATTTTGATTTTTCGCAGCTACATGCAAACCAAACTCTGTATACACAGATATTTGTATGTTTTTGTGTTGTATGGTAATCCTGGACATTCTTTATGTACATCATTTATTATCCGTTGGGCCGTAGTTGGAGTAAAAAATTGCTTGGAAATTTCTGTAAGTCCCAGCACCAAATTGACATCAGCCTTCGAATCTACGAACTTAAAGTGACAATTCTTGCTTAGATCACAAGATACACAAGGTTTTTTGAAAAAAAATTGACGAAATTGGGAGATTCATATTTTTGGTGGAGGAAACGAGCTACCTTGCATAAGGATTTAATATAAAGGGTGTTTCAACAAGGAAACAATATTTCAAGGTTCTATAAAACCTGGTATTTCGTAACAAACAAGTGAAATATTCATTGGATTTTGGTGTATACACTGGAATTGTATATGTAACAACACTTCAGGTAAATGACTGCCCCGGCATTCGTGATAACATTTTTGTACGCATGTCGTGGTATCTCATTGATACACCTCTCAATGCTTCGGTGGTGGCAGGCTTGTTGACTTAAACTTGTGACTTCAGATAACCCTAAAGCCAAAAGTCCAAAGGTGTTAAATCGCAAGAGCGTGGTGGCCAATTGTGGTCACCACGTTCGCCATTCACTGTTAGTCGATTACCTGCCTCGTTCTCAAAGAAAAACTGTTCAATAATTCCTCCAGACCATAGTGCACACCAAACAGTGACACGTTTTGGATGCATAGCTTTTCCATGATTTACTCTTGGATTCTCTGTGCCCCAAATGTGGCAGTTTTGCCTATTGACGAAGCCGTCGAGATGAATGGCTTCGTCGCTAAAAATGATTTTGTCCGCAAAATCAGCATTCACATCCCGTTGGCCAAGGATCCAATTGCTGAACTCTCTTCGCTGCGCATGGTCTGTTGACGTAAGTTGAGTCAGTTGGACTTTGTAGGCGTGCAGATGTAAATCTTTCGTTAGAATACGTTGGAGAGTGGCTGTTTTAATGTCCAATTCTTGAGCGCGATGACTCTCGGCTAAACTCTCGCGAACTGCTCTGACATTTTCTTCTGAACTACCGCTGTGAGCTCGTCTCATATGTTTCACGCCATTATTTGAACCAGTATTTCCAGCATTATTCTGTTAACAGTGGATGGGGTAGGAACATTATTGCGACCGAATAATACCTGCACTTTTCGAATCGTGGCCATTAAACTTTCACCACTTTGTTAATAATTTTTAACAACGTGGATGCGCTGTTGTATTGTGTAATGATTCATTTTCATCAACTCCCGCATGCGTACTATTGATCTGTCATGCCACAATCATTATGACAATATTGCGTTCTTATTGATACACCCTTTATAAGCATCTGATTCACTTGTATAGACAAAACACAGGCCAAACTACTATTTGATGACTCAACCTATGTTATTCTATGAACCTTGATGTCATCATTGCTGATTATACAGGTTGGCCCATCCATGTGTGGACGGAATATTTTGGGAAAATCTATTTATCTCATGTTATACATGACATTTGAGGGCACATTTCTAAAATATTGCCAACTCTACAGGGCGTCCCAATTTCGACCTACATATCAAAAATGTGATTTTTTAAATCGAATGCCTCAAATTTTATTGCATATTTGAATAAACCATATTCAAAAGAAGAAGATTGATATAACATACTATGGGGTTTTGGTAATTAGCTACTGAGATGTAAAGTGTTTTGTCCAGAAAAACCGTTCACTTCGGCAATCCCACAAACCGCCATTTTGAAATTTGGAGTGCTGAATTTTGTATCAAAAAAAACTTACACACCTCAGCTTTTATCCTATTTGTTACTTTTTCGAATTATCATTTTTGCTCATACAGGGTGGTCAAAAACGCGAATTGTACTTTTTCTCAAAAAATTCAAATGCATCACCCTGTATATTTGTACAAGTTTTGATTCAATTTTTCATAAGCTTTTTTTTGTATAAGGTTTGATTCAGATTAAATGACTAGATTTTGAGTTATTAAGCTAAAGATCACATCATTCATGGAAAGAAAAGACAAACAGTGGGCTAGTTCCATATTGAACAGTACAAATCAGCTGCAAGCGTAATGAAGAAAAACATCTATAACAACATCATAAATAAACAACTATCACTACTCAAGCCTAATCTACAAAAACTGCTCGAAAATATCTCCACCATGTTGAATACACAGCAGTAGTCTTTGGGTAAATGACCGTTGCACATCCCTCAGCATGTGTTCCCTTATGTTCAAAAAAGCATCCTTCATATTTTCCGGGGGAGATGATGGATATCTATTAACCTCTTGCTTAACGTAGCCCCATAGAGGTGTCATATCTGGTGATCTAGGAGACCAAGATATAGGCCCATCACAACTGATCCAACGATTGTTACTCCGGCTGTCCAAATAGTTACGCACAGGATTATGATAATGCGCAGGTGCGCCGTCATGTTGGAAGTACATATGCATCCGAGTTTGCAGGTTGACATCCTCCAAAAGCAAAGGCAAATGCTCGATCAAAAAATTCAAGTATTATGTATCGGTTAATCTGTTGTGGAAAAAGAAAGACCCGATAACTTGTCTGCCAATAACTCCTCCCCAAACATTCAAGCTCCATTTATTCTGTAAATCTATTTGCCTAACCCAGTCGCATAATAGTGTATGTTATGCCTGTTGACAACACATATGCTGTTAAAAGTTGCCTTATCGCTAGAAAGAACCTTATCCAGGAAAGTAGTGTCTTCACTCACTTTATTTAGCATTCTACTTAAGTCCATTCGAGCTGCGAAATCCTGAGGCCGAAGGCCTTCATGCAAGCATAGGTGATATGGATGGTACCTATGCTTGTGAATAATCCTTTGGACAGAAGTTCTGCATATATCAGTTTTTGCTCCAATTTTCCGTGCACAAATGGGAATTGCAACTTTAATAGAACCTCCCAACTGATTCGCCTCATTGATGACACTTGGATTATTTATACATTTTTTACTATATTCCACTGCTCCACTTGATTCAAACCGTTCTCGTACTGTGGAAAATGTTTCCGGCCTTGGATGTCGCATATTAGGGTACCGTTGCTTGTAAATGCGAGACGTTAGGAAACTATTTCTTTGAACTTTCCCAAAACGAACACCATATTCACCATTTCTTTTTATTATAATGCTCACAAATTTAAGTTTGACAGTTTGTAACTAATCAACAATTTATTTGTTTCCAAGGATAATGCGATATTTTAGGGAATTAAGCCGTTCCATAAAAGACGTGCTAATAACAGGAAAAATTGGCGTAAAAACCCTTATGTGCCTAGTATGAAAAAAAGCTTATAAAAAATTGTATCCAAACTTGCACAAATATATAGGGTGAAGCATTTGAAATTTTTGAGAAAAACTACAATTTGCGTTTTTGACCACCCTGTATGAGCAAAAATTAAAATTCGAAGAAGCAACAAATAGGATAAAGGCTGTAAGTGTTTTTTTAATACAAAATTCAGCACTCCAAATTTCAAAATGGCGGACTGAGGGGTTGCTAGACAAAACACCTTATATCTCAGAGCTGATTACCAAAACCGCATAGTACGTTATATCAATTTTCTTCTTTTGAATCGGTTTATCCAAATATCCAATAAATTTGAGGCATTCCATTTGAAAAATCACAACTTTGATATGTATGTCGAAATTGGGTCACCCTGTATAATGGCCAATATTTTAGAAATGTGCCCTCAGATGTCATGTATAACATCCCATAAATAGATTTTCCCAAAATGTATTTTTTTATCAGTAATATGCCGTCCACACATGGATGGGCCACCCTGTATACAGAATGCACAGTGGTTAGTATGCTGCGTATGTTATGAAATAGTATCTTCTCATTTGACTTGGCAGTATGTTTACATTTTTCTCGTATTAAATAGCTGTATAAAATTACGAAATTTCTTTTTGTCATTTTGTACTGAATAATTCCAGGTAATCGTAAACATGACCCCGTCTTGAACATTGCTGCAATAAATTAATACAGCCCCCTTACAGTCTTTAATATCAGTAGCTACAGACAAAACATCTCGGCTTATTGTTTCATAAACATGGACGAAGTAATATATAACGTTGTCTACCGGGCGTCCCAGGATATATATGGTCATACTGTCGCGTATCGGGTCGACCACAAAAAATTATATAACAGGTTTCTATGGAAATGACGTTTCGTGTATTTTAGACAGAAGTACAATGTTGTTTTGGGTGTAAAAATAGTGTTCTAAGTTGCTTTAACATATGCATCTTCTGACACTTATCCTGTGGTTGTTACTTGAGTTTTTCGTCTAATTCCAATGATTGTTTTAACATTAGGCCATATGACTTCAAAGACTGATCTAGACATGTAGGCAAAGAATACGTCGATATATATTTTGCGTGAAAGTCGAGTGTCGCTAGTGGGGTTTGTGATAATTATAAACATTGAGGATACGCTCTAAATATAGTTTTGGCCTTAGACACAACACTGATCTAGAGACTATAGATAAAATATATCTCGAGTGTCGGTGTTCCATGTATTGTGCGAGTGAAAGTCGAGTGTCGCCAGTGAAGTGAGTGAAAATCATAACAATTGAGGATATGTACGCTGCGTACCCAGGAGGCGGGCCTCCTCCTCACTATGCCCCGCCTCCGACTTTCTTGCAGCCCCACCCACCTCCTCCACCATTACAACACCATGTGCAGGTGCCGCCCATTCCGATGGTGCAAAGTCAATCGCCCGTTGCTCACTATTCCAAAAAGAGAAGGTATGTCTTGCTCCCGTAAAATTAGAGGAACAGTAAAGTGAAATATAGCAATTATATACCGGGTGTCAACGAAATCGTTTTACAAGGTACTAATTAATTGCTGTTTAAAGAAGAAACTTGAAATTTATAAAAACTCAGATTATCCATTAAAAAAAAAACTGAATATCGCTTCCGGTTTGACCGGAAGTGAGTATGAAACAAGAATTATAAATATCACCCTGTATATATTTTTATATATTTGCATAGAGCTTAAAATTTCCTTTTCAACGATGTAACACAAGTTGTCATTCTTTTTCAAAATGGCGGCATAAATGGCATTTATACCAAATTCAATATGGCGGCGTTTTGACAGTATCTATGTATTTTTTGCCAAACTTCCCGCTAATTTAAGAGACAAAATGTATGTAGTGATGAATTTGGTACTTAAAAGATCAAAAGCCATGTTTCTTAAAAATTTTTCTAGCACTTTCGTGGGAAATTTGACACTGCTCATCTATTTCGCGAGTAGAAGCAGTACGATCATATTCTACGTACGCTAGGACGTTTATTTTGACTTTTCGTTTACTATAAAACCATTAACAGGATCGTTATGTTGATTTTTCAAATGTTCTACGAGCCAAGGATAATATGCGTGTGATGGAGCTTGACGATCTGGAACCCTGTCCTGATATAATCTTGCGCGCGCCTCGAATTTTTTTGGTATTCAGCATAAATAAGGAGCATGTCGATTTGATGATCTCTTAAATATACTAAGTGACATATAAATCCGAACACCCAGTTTAAATGGTTTTATTTTAATAAAAGTTGGTGAATGTATTTATCTTACTGTAAATAACAAGTGAAAAAATTTTCAGCCTTATCAGTTGGACATTCCGGTTTTTATACGGCTTTTTTTAAATTCACTAACGCTCTAAAAATGAATATTTCAGCCGCAGTAAAGAATCAACGTTGGCGGATTTTGGTTCTTGACATCCTTTACGATCGGTTACAATGCCTAGAGTACGGAGACCTGTACGATTTCGTCAACTTAGTGAGTTTGATATGGGCCGTGTAGTGGGACTTCGGGAAGCTGGACTTTCTTTTCGAGCAATTGCAGTTAGAGTGCAAAGAAGTGTAGACACTGTGGTTAGGTGTTGTCAGGCATGGCTTCGAGAAGGCCGTACGCAAAGAGCAAGGGGCACTGGACGCCGCCGTAGAACAACAGACCGTGAAGATCGCCGCCTAAGATTATTGGCCTTAAGGGACCGTTTCTCCACTACCTTCGCCTTGAGTGGTGCAGACAACGGTCACTCTGGGATCAGGAATGGAACAGTATTGTCTTTAGTGACGAGTCTCGATTTTGTTTAGGCATGCACGATGGTCGTGCCAGGGTTAGAAGGCGACGTGGTGAAAGGAGGAATCCACAGTTTTTTGTTGAAAGACATGTTCATCACACTTTTGGAGTTATGGTTTGGGGTGCTATAGCTTATGGTTCCAGGTCACCTTTAATCTTCATCAGAGGTAACATGAACGCGCAGCGTTATATCCACGAAGTTCTAGAACCCCATCTTTTACCCTATCTTGACACCTTGGCAGATCCAACTTTCCAACAAGATAATGCCCTACCACATGTTGCAAGAGTCACAATAGGCTTCTTTCAACATAATGATGTCACATTGTTACCATGGCCACCAAGATCTCCCGACTTATCCCCAATTGAGCACGTGTGCGATATGATGGGTAGGAGATTGCTCAATTTGCAACGTCCTCCTCAGACTCTAGAAGCATTTCGAGAGGAGTTGGTGGTTGCCTGGAATGAGATACCACAGGAGGACATTGACCACCTGATCAGAAGCATGCCTAGGCGCGTTGGAGAATGCGTAGCACATCAGGGTGCATCCACACATTATTAAAGGTCAAAGGGCTTTAAAGCAGTGCAATCATTTTGAAATTTTTGTCATTTACTTATTAATGCTTCATTAAGTACTTATACAAAATTTTATTAAAATAAAACCATTTAAACTGGGTGTTCGGATTTATATGTCACTTAGTATAATTCATTATACTTTGTAGCAGTTAATGCTGAATTGATGTCAAATGAGATAAACAAATAAAATAAAAAATATTACACAATAAACGATGCTGACGCGTGGAAACGAGACTGATAGTTGACAGTAATTTTAAAGGCTTCCCCGTTCATTTGTTTCCAAGCCATCCCCAGATCTCCGCGCAAACCATTGAAATATTCGTCGCTGTTGATTATTACAATTCTGGATTTTTAAATTAAAGAAGGAAAAAACAAAATAATTGTAATAAAAAATGAAAATCATAGATATTTTCTTTCACGTGACTAGGTAAATACCTATTAACTGTGCTTAGGTCATAACAAATACTAAAGTTCTAATTAGTTTTAATGCATGATATAGCTCTCCAAAATTTTTCAGTTTATTTCCGTTATAGTGGACATTAATTATTTCAGAGATAATCCGACATACTGTATTAGTAGTATTTAGAAAACACCGTTTTCTATTCAAAATTCTGAGAAAATTTAAAATACATTTTGACATTTTAAGCAAAATCTAAAATGGCCGCAAATTCATGATATTTTTTTTTGTTCTGCCAACTCAATGTAGAAATTGTAAGAGAATCTATTTTGCCTCTTATTTCAGCGGGTAGTTTGGCAAAAAATCCATACTTACTGTCAAAACGCCGGCATATTGAATTTTCCGTAAATGTCATTTACGCGGCCATTTTGAAAAAGAATGACAACTTATGATAGATCGTTGAAAAATGAGTTTTAAGCTTTATGAAAAAATGGTATATATACAGGGTCTTATTTAAAATTCTTGTTTCATACTCACTTCCGGTCAAACCGGAAGCGATATTCACTTGTTTTTTAATGGATAATCTGAGTTTTTATAAGTCATATCTTCACACAGAATTTCAAGGTTATTCTTTAAACAGCAGTATTGTAAAACGATTTCGTTGACACCCGGTATATGCTTTCTGTTGGTTGATGACAATGAGTTACCATTTTTTGAAGAATCACCCATATAACAAGGTCAACAGCGAATATTCCTTTTGTTTTCTTAACTGACGCTGTTTTGTCCTTATTGGGTATCATCAGCGCAGTTCCAATTGGGACGACGAACCAAAGTAGACCGAAATAGTTCCTAACAGCTACAAGTAATTTTTTTAGTATAGTGCTGTTCTGCCACTCAACCCCAAAACAAACGTACAAAATACAAACCACAAAACATAAAATATTTCAATGTTATAATGAGGTAAAACATAGGTACCTACAAAAGGGTATAAAAGTATGTTGTACATATAAAAATATCTTGAATGAAAATATAGAATATAACATGTATACAAAGATATGAATTATTAGCATTGAAACATTTTTGTGAAGCGAGAGGTAAATTTGAGCAAATCATGAAGAATGTTCACCTAGAATATGTTTTTGACACATTTTTTTTTAAATTCGTCATATGTTAACAATTTTAAGGTTTGTGGAATTTCGTAACTATGAATAACTGCGTTGTATGTGAAGCAATTACGGAAGAGTCTACGTGACACTAATGTTCCTTCAATGAAAATTGCTTCTAGATATTAGTTTAGTCTTCAAAAATATAAAGTAGTATAGTTTTAAAAAGACGTTTTTTCGGTTCGATTTTTTTATTTAATTTAATTTTGGTTACTTTTACAGCATTGCTGTTATAAATTATTACGTTATGTCATTATTTTGTGTTATTTTGTATTATCGAAATTAGTTTTAAATATACTAAGAGACATATAAATCCGAACACCCTGTTTAAATGGTTTTATTTTAATAAAAGTTGGTGAATGTACGTATTTGTCTTACTGTAAATAACAAGTGAAAAAATGTTCAGCCTTATCAGTTGGACATTTCGGTTTTTATACTGTTTTTTTTTAATTCACTAATGCTCTAAAAATGAATATTTCAGCCGCAGTAAAGAATCAACGTTGGCGGATTTTGGTTCTTGACATCCTTTACGATCGGTTACGATGCCTAGAGTACGGAGACCTGTACGATTTCGTCAACTTAGTGAGTTTGATAGGGGCCGTATAGTGGGACTTCGGGAAGCTGGACTTTCTTTTCGGGCAATTGCAGGTAGAGTGCAAAGAAGTGTAGACACTGTGGTTAGGTGTTGTCAGGCATGGCTTCGAGAAGGCCGTACGCAAAGAGCAAGGGGCACTGGACGCCGCCGTAGAACAACAGACCGTGAAGATCGCCGCCTAAGATTATTGGCCATAAGGGACCGTTTCTCCACTACCAGGTCCATTGCAAATGAATGGTTTGCAGAACACGGAAGACCTATTGGCATGCGAAGTGTTTACCGACGAATGAGAAGTTTTGGCTTGTTTTCATACCGGCCACACTGGGTCCTCCCTTTAACTCGAGAACACCGTCGTAATCGCCTTGAGTGGTGCAGACAACGGTCACTCTGGGATCAGGAATGGAACAGTATTGTCTTTAGTGACGACTCTCGATTTTGTTTAGGCATGCACGATGGTCGTGCCAGGGTTAGAAGGCGACGTGATGAAAGGAGGAATCCACAGTGTGGGATATGAAGTGTAAGAGATTGCTCAATTTGCAACGTCCTCCTCAGACTCTAGAAGCACTTCGAGAGGGTTTTGGTGGTTGCCTGGAATGAGATACCACAGGAGGACATTGACCACCTGATCAGAAGCATGCCTAGGCGCGTTGGAGAATGCGTAGCACATCAGGGTGCATCCACACATTATTAAAGGTCAAAGGGCTTTAAAGCAGTGCAATCATTTTGAAATTTTTATCATTTACTTATTATGCTTTACTAAGTACTTATACAAAATTTTATTAAAATAAAACCATTTAAACTGGGTGTTCGGATTTATATGTCACTTAGTATATGTTCGAAAAAATTCAAGAGATGACTTTCAGCTAATGTTAATTTCTTAATTAGTTTGGTGGTTATAATATTTTATTATGTTATTGTCCCAGTGCTTTTTATTTTTTTATCGAAGCGAGATATGAAAGAACCTCAGGAGACAAAAAAATTGTATTTTTAGCTGCTTAATTTGATAAAAAGAGATACATAGAAAAAAGTCAGTGGCGCATAAATTTTTTGTCAAAGATATTGGTTAGGGTGTTTTCCGGGACGCTACTGGACTTATGATTGCAATCTAATTGAGGCTTAATTAGCCCCTTACTGCGCTTGAAACCACTGCTAAATGTAAACAAAATCGACTGAAAGTTTATCAAGATATTTAGGAAAAACAGATTTTTTCAAAAAATGTCTGTCACACTGTATCTTGAAAATGACCCATTTCTGGACCTATTTTATATAAACTTCTTATCTTCATCCCTTTATTTCAAAGCTCAACGTTTCTGTGAACTTGGCAGATTTCACTTCCTCCGAAGCAGAAGATAGGGGAATATAATATATACATATAGCTCTACAGGCCTGAAGGGCTCAGGCTTTATTTGTAATTTCTTTCCATTTCTTCTTATTTTGACACATGAATTTCCAGTTTTGTACACCTAAGCTTCTCAGAT